TTTATAAAAAAGCACCGGGAACTAGCGATTGGCTTAGAGCATCAATTGATCACTCTAACCAATCTGCAGCACCCATGCCTGCCGTCAATCTGCACTTCCTGACACTCCGTTTCAGAAGCCGAATACCACTGTGCGACCTGGAGATCTGGAGCTGGAGGAAGCCTTTGGAGTTAAAACATTTGAGAGTGGTTTAACCCCTTAAAGTAAAGAGAGCACCTAGGGGCTCCCTGGCATCATAGCATTTTCATTTAGATGGAGTTGTTATGGTGACCAGAATGTTCCTTTAATTTGCTTAAAAGAACACTATAATGTCAGGAATACAAACATGTATTCCTGATACCATAGTTGTGAAAACGCTATTCACCCTGGCTTTATGTGATAATGACTATTCCCATTCCCTTTCATGAAACTGTCAAAATGGGACCAAGCATGGATGTCATTACAATTTTGCCCCCCCTGGAAAAATTCCTGAGGACGCCTATGCGCACAGCCAAATTCTGTGGAACTGTTGTGGGCATGAAATCATGCATGTGGTCGGTCAAAAGAGATTTCCACAAACTTGAACCCCATGGCGATTTTATTCTGTTTGAGGGATCTGAGCGCTGTTCGGCTATATTGAGCGCTCAGATCCAAGCCACAGATCGGGGTTCAGTTCTGTAGAATATTACTTATGTATTTTAATGTGTTTTGTTGCAATTGTAACTTTTGATGATATTTTCTGTACCTTTGTGTTCTTTGTGTGCCTGTGTGCCTCTGGCCTGAGGAATTGTATAAATTGTGAGTGCTTGCTTCCATTAAACAGACCTGTTCTACCCTTCATGAAGTCTTGGCTCATGTTTGGGGGATTGGAGAACTACCTACACTCTGGGGATTGCTATAATCACTATACTCCCCAGAGTAAGCACTTGTAAGAGCTTGTTCCTGTTCTTGCTCTCTGGATTTAAGAGAGGTCTACCTACTGGAAGCTGGACCCTGGTCTTGGGTCCAGAGTGGGTGGAAGACGGCGAGACCCTAACCAAGCTGCGACGGTTCGTGGGGTCTGCAGTAGTTATGGTGTCTGGTGGAGTGCTTGGAGTCCTCAGAAAGCACTAGGAGCATCTGTCAATGGAAGGTACCCAGTTGGGATGCCAGGCATTCCGTTACAGACAGCGTTTCCCAATTGGTGTTCCCCTGAACCCTAGGGAACAAAATTGGGGTTCAGTGGCATTTCGCCACATCCAAGATGGCCGCCTCTACCTGCTGTTCCCGGAAGATCGGAAACAGCAGAGATCGCGCAACTGCAATCTTAAGTCTGCCCTGCCATCAGCCCGCATTGCCATCAGCACGCCTTGCCATCAGCACGCCTTGCCGTCAGAGCCCGCCCGGCTGCCCGCCCTGTCATAAGTCAGCCACTTAGCTCGTCCATGAGAAAGCACGCCCTGCCATCAGCCAGCCCGCCCAGCAGTCAGCCAGCCCAGCCATCAGCCATTTTCTATTGAAATTCTCTGTTAGGGACATTAAAAGGCTCTGTAAGGTACATTAAAAGGTTCTGTCAGGGGCATTTAAAAACTCTTTCAGGGGCATTGAAAGACTCTGTCAGGGACATTAAAAGGGCTCTGTAAGAGACATAGAAAGGCTCTGTTAGGGACATTAAAAGGCTCTGTAAGGGACATTGAAAGACTATGTTAGGGACATTAAAAGGCTCTGTAAGGGACATTAAAAGGCTCTGTTAGGGACATTAAAAGGCTCTGTCGGGGGCATTGAAAGACACTGTGAGGGGCATTAAAAAACTATGTCAGGGGGATTGAAATTCTGTTAGGGACATTAAAAGGCTCTGTCAACAATTAAACCAGATATAAAAAGAATTTGCCAGCAAAAGAGAACATTAGACTCTTCTCATTGAAAGGTTTGTGCGGCACTACTCTGCAGCACACATTTTTTTTGGGGGGGTAACAAAGTTTTGTTATACCATGCCAAAGGGTTCCAAGGAAAAAAATAATTGTGAAACCCCACTGTAGGAAGTCTTATGGAGGATAATAAGCCTTAGGTGCCATTGCTCCATATACTGACTGGTATGTAAAATTTATATATCGATGCTGGCTAAGGACAACAGTCAACGAATCCAACGTGCCAAGTAGGAGTCGATGCTGGTAGATGATGAGCCTGGAAAGAAACCAAAAATGGGTGCAGTTCAGGAAAACAAAGTGAGCGTGTGGAATCCATATACAATTTCAGACATCCCACTGGGCACAAAGCCGGAATCTCGCAGAAATCTACGATAAAACATTGTCTTATTGGACGATTTGTCCTTCTGGAGGTAATGAAGGAAATACCTTCCGGGGTAAATGCAATAGCATTCCAATCCAGCGTTCAGAAGTCCAAAACGCATACAAGAAAACCAGGCAGGACAACTTCCATAGCTTAGCAGACAGTTGTTAAGCGACAATGCTTGATTCGGATACCAGGATGACAAATTTGTAGGAACAGGTCGACGGCCCAAAAGGTGTAGAATCTAGCCTAGGATGCCTAGCGAGTCGAAACCCTTGAGAATATAACACACAAAAGGGCGGCAATCTATCTGTAATCCCTCAATGCCTTGAAGTTCCTTGGAGATGGTTGACAGAAATAGATTAATAATGTGGTAATCCTTCTCTGATTCAAAGACTCCAGTAAGGAAAACGCCTGAATCACATGCAAAGGCAAATACGGGGTCCACCGCATGTCCCAAGCACCAACCAGGCCACAACCGATTTGTCACTTGATAGGCAGACCGAGGTCCCGGGCCCATGCGTTAGCAATGAGTTGAAGAGATGTCTGCGGAATGACTGGGAGCTTCCAAGGTCTCTGAAAAGAAGACACACCACCAGAGGCAGGAGGTCTTACTCTATCAAGCCAAGCACATTCCCATCCGGATCCAGAAAGAGGGTCAGGGAAGTCAGAATCAGGCATGAACAATCCATCAATACCTCCATCACTCGAGGGAACCATGTTTGTGACTTCCATAGAGGGTGACCAGCACCATTGTATAGCCCTGCCTGATCAACTTCGACAGCGTGAGAAAAATCATGTGAACAGAGAGAAGGCAAAGTGTCGGGTGACCGGTCATACCTGAAGGAGGGTGGCTGTCATGAACGCTGCTGGGTCCGGCCCCCAACCATATCATCTGATCAACTGGGTGTCCAGTCTGGACGCAAACAGATGCACATCTTGAACGGACCCAAAGATGGCTCCGCCGTACCACGCCACTACGTGAGCGAGTCACTAAACCAATTCGTCCCTGGATTCCTCATCCAACATCAACCTTGCCACATAAAAGTGTATGGACCTGAGCTAAGAGCCCTACAGACGATGTAGGGCACAACAGTGTAGAAGCCCGGCCAAAATAGCTTGAAATGAAGCTACTAGTAGGCCGAAAACCCTTGCTAATTGTCCTATTGACAGCTCCAAAGCTCGGAGATTCCACTTGACCCCCCACGATATGGTCCTCATTTCGGATACCGGGAGATACCAGAACTGATGAATGAAATCCCCTGAGAAGTCCAAAATTCTATGGAAAGTGCAGAAGACATCACAGATTTCAATTAAATTGGTCGTCCATGTCAAGCATACGTGAAGTTGTGTCTGTGACTGGAACCTGAGCTGGGTGACGTCCAGATAATAATCATCCGAACACCCCCCGTGCAAAGGAACGACACCACCGGCTTCATGACTGTGATGAAACACCAATGAGCGGAAGAGAGACCGAACTTTAGATATGTAGACTACCACCCCCTTCCTCGCCAGCTAAAAACAGAGATCACTGCACTCCATAGCGGTGGGAACCATGACATACTTGTCACTCACTTCGGCTTGACCAACCATTCCGAAGGATGGAGAAGGTCACCCAGACAATGAATTCCCCACATTCGAAATGTCGATACTGCAAAGGCATCGAGAGGACGAGAAAAGATTGCCCATGAAACCCAGGCGTGAGTATGGCAGTTCTCAGATCGCTCCTATTGCGACCGGCTCTCGAATCTCCAAATCTCTCGAATCTCAGAGGAGATCAACATGTCCAGTCCCACCGACAGGCACAGTTCTCGTGGAAGAGAGGATAGAATAGGTAGGGATAAATGAAGGTGACAACCTTGAACCGTAGTAGAACAGAAGCATCGGAAACAATTCTGCCCGCCTGTGGTAGAACTGAACCCACTAGCCCCCCATCTGTACTTGAGAATGAGAGGAAAAGATGGGTAGTTCCATAAGGGCGTTGTCAAGGTGGCGGTCTGGTGACCGGGACCCAGTATGCCTGATGTTGAAAGTAGAAGTCACAGTGTGGAAGTGGATTAGCAGGGTCTAGTGCAGGGTAACCGCACGCCCCCTGGTGTTGAGTACCAGCATTTGTGCGGCCACATACCAGGACCCTGATGCAGCTTAAGCGGATCCCAGGAACTAGGAGCATGGAAATAAGCCGACCTCCCAGGAGCTGAATAGGGAGGCTCTGCAGCAGGAATGTATCCAGTACAGAAACAAGGCAAGGCCAGGACAGACACCAAACATGAAAACAAGACAGAACTAATAGAACCCAGAACCAGAGAAGGATAGGAAGCTAAACCCAGAACATGTACACAATACATAAGGGAAACATGGACAGGATTGTACATGGACTGAGAATACAAAATAAAACAAGATATGATAGGCAAAACAAGAGGAGACAAAACTAAGTACTATATGTGAAAACTATGGGGATTTAGTTACATTATATGATCATACATTGCATAAGCCTGCCAAACCGCCAATGTACCCCATATTTGGCAGGTCCTACTCTGCCTAATGTCTGCTAAATAAACCATAATAAAGCACATAAAGCACTTATCTGCAAGAAAGGGCAGAAGACTTGAGCAACTGCCTGCAGGAAACTGAAACAAAAGGAATGAAGGAAAATGAACGGGTGTGGCAACATAAAACAAACATTTAAAGGAATCCAAGAGACTGGGAATTCCAGGAACGGAATACAGGAATGAACCCAGAATACCCAGCATAAAGAAAACCAGACATGGAATAGAAAACCAGAAAAACCAAGAAAAACTAAACAAGAATTGTTTAGTTTTTCTTGGTTTTTCTGGTTTTCTATTCCATGTCTGGTTTTCTATTCCATGTCTGGAAAAAGAGTACTGGATACCAGAAGCCATTGCCAGAATGATCCATAGCTAGGAACAGGATGTAACAGGCGTCCACCCAACATGGCACCTCGAGGGAGAACAGGCGTTCCATGGTCTACCTACAGACGGGAAAAGGCAGGCGCCCTGACCACACGGAATCCTCGGTGCGGGTAAAAGGAGCCCCGATTGGCTTCGAATGAGCCCCTAAAGCCAAGGCCAGGCCCCACCAAAAAATCCTTTGGGGGGAAAAAAGAAAAACACCTGCTACTTACTCACCCGGGCCCTATCAATGATAGTGAATGTCCTGCCACACGTACCTAGGTCCTTTAAAAACCTATCCCCAACAGCATGTTTTCAGCAGCAGGACCGGGTTCAGATCTAGCTAAACTAGCTAACATAGGGTCTATTTCAAGCAATACCACCTAGCGGCATGCAGCGGACATGGCCGTAATTGCAGTGCCGAAAAGGTGAATAGTCCGCTGGACCCACCCAATGGCCACATCAATGTCCAACTCGGATTCGCCTGCCCTGGGGAATCTAGGACCTCACAACCTAGGAAAAAAGGGATCCAGCATATTCCAGGTATTACTTTGACAGTTCTTCAAGATAAAACTAGCCCCTTCTAGGGCTTCCAGCCTGACTTACAAAGAAATCGGACTATGTGATGATCTACGACAGGGATTAAAAGAGACTCAGGGACTGGCGGTCTAGGGCACTCCAGGTGCAACACCGCGCCCCTCCTTTGAAAGGGGAGTGTGCATACGATGTGTCAACTACTGGGAAATAAGCCCAGGTGGCCCCCTTTCAGCCGACTGGATGGTGTAGAGCAACTGGATCAAACAGGGAAAACACCCTGCGGATCCGAAAGCGCTACGCTCCCGACAGACGGCCGAGAGAAACCAACCTGGGAAGACAAGTCAGCCCCAGAAGGAGCCGACTTGGTGGAGTGATTGTAATCCTCTGTGTCACCTCTGACCCACCTGAGGGGGTCTGCCTTGACATTGGCAGGCGGGCATTCTCTTCAATGGCCATTGGAGTAACTAAATGATCTCCATTTGTTTAAATATACATAGGGATTTAGGAGAGAGCGCAGGTAACTTTCTCTTTGGTTTTTACTGTATGTATTGAGGCTGATGTGTACTGTGGTCGTTGCTGCCACCCAGGAGTGATGGGAGTGCGCGCAGGACTTGTTTTGTTTGTATTTGAATCCTCTGTGTCAGCCTCATCATAAGAAGCAAAATCAGGGGCATCCAAGTCACCCTCCACACTCCAGTCGGTATCCGACCTTTCCTCACGGGGGCCTAGCCCGTATACATAATCTGTCAGTTTTTGCCCGGCCAGGGCCTCTTTTGCGTGGTTGGAACGCACCATCTTTGACCGCCTTCAGTGTGTCTGTCATGGCAGGCAGAACCTGCATCAAGGATTGGGAGGTGAGATGATTTGCCTTCACCGTAGCCTTATGGGCAGCCGACGTGGCAGGGGTAGAGGAAGGCCCAGCACCCCGGAGAGTGGAGGCAGCCACAGAAGGCGGCAAAAAAAGGGGGGGGGGAAGCCCAAGCAATCATCTGGGGGGGCGATGGCGACACCGCTCTCATGGCAGAGGCAAAGGCTCCTTGGACAGAGTGAGTCATGGTGGAATCCAACATGGCCTGGAACTCTTCAGATGCCAAAGCCCCAGCATCCTCAGCCGGCCCATCACCCTCAGCCTGCCTGACACTATGAATATAAGGGTAAGTAACCAAAGGGGTCAGGACTAAGGCTGAAAGGGAAACAGTTGAAAATTGTACAACAAGCATTAAAGGTGTTAACATTATGCGCACCTATAAAATGTCCATATTTATGTATACATATAAGCGTTAACTTCTTTGCCCAATGTTAATACTACAGGAAGCACGAAAAGCTGCTAGGTCAATATGTAAATGCATTTACATGCACAAGTACTAACCCCAAAAGTAGAGAACAGACAAGAACTAATAGGGTATAACAACCCACAAGAAAAAAACTGCAAGAAAACAAAATGTACCACACTGAAGAATTGGTCTGCCCCAGAAGCCCAGGAGCTGGCAGAAAGCTGAGGTAAGTGAGACCCAAGGCACCCTGTGCCCGCACAGAGAGTTGCGGGTGCACCCAACCAAGCTCCCCTCACAAAATGGCAGTCGCGTGAGGTAGGCCTCGATCGCAACTCCCGAGCGGCACAAGAAACGGAAAGGGTCGCAGATCGGGGAAGGGGCGACCCATTCAGGAACGGGGTGCCAAACCCAAAGAGCAGACACAGGAAAGGGCGACGGTCAGCCCGGCCAGGAAGGATAAGAGAGGGTGCACCAAATAAATAGTACATAAACTGTACAAATAATAACATAAATAAATCATACATAAACATCACCAACAATAATAATAATACAAGTAAATAGTACATAACAGCATAAATAATAATAATATAAACAAACAAATACATCAAAACCCAAAGAAAAAAAGACATTGAACACACACAGAGCACTGCAAAATACTTAGCTGGTCTGAGGGAGCAGCAAAGAAAGAGGAGGGTCTTGGGATACACTTGCCTTATATGGACACTATCCCTACACTGTGATTGGTTGCATGTGTTGCTAGGCAGTTTTTTTCTTAATTTGATATATATATTTTACTCTCAATCTTTGCTGCTGAGGGAAATAAAGAAAGAGCCTCCGTGTCTTTAATTAAATTATAGTTTTTAGCAATGCACAGACTCAGGGAGCTGCCACAAAAAAAGCTAAATTATGACATTTCAAATGGGAAAAGACAAGAAAGAGAATGTAATACTATCTGGATTATTTACTAAAGTGAGAATTCAAACTGAATTTAAAATTTAAAGTCAAAATAGCTGAGCTGAAAAAAGTCTGTGTATATGTAGGATACAAGGCTAATGATGTAGGATCTATGAGTAAATGTTTGTGTTCACATTACAATTAAGAATTTAATACGTGTTACAAATTTTCTAAAGACATTTGAATGTTCAAAATCAGTAACACTGCATATGAATGCTTGTATGAAAAGCTAGTATTATGCTCAGTTAGGATAGCCTTATGCTCAGGCATAAGGCTATCCTAGATATAAGATAAGGCCAGGGACTCATTAAAGTATTTAGAAAATTGGGCAGACTAGATGGGCCGAATGGTTCTTATCTGCCATCACATTCTATGTTTCTATGTTTCTAGTATACCAAAAGGGATAATAATATGCAGATCTGATGGGAAATGTAGTGGGACAGTAGGAGTTTTAAAATTATTGATACAGAAATAAGTCATTAAGATTAAGTTAACCTAAAATTTGTAAATAACCCTGTGTATGTCTACTGACAAGACCTCACTAAGTTAATGCAGTGCAAATCTGAGTAATTATTCACAAACAACAAATATGGATTTATTTTAATACAGTAACAGACTGCAAATATTAAAATACAACACAATAACAACATTTCAGTTATAAGGATAGGTCTTCTAAACTGAGTCTTTCAACTCCACCAAGAAGGGTCCTTCAAGATTACTTTAATTATCATAAAAATATATGGTAAACATCCTTCGAATTCAATATTGAGTACCATTAAATTACTATTAAATTTTGTACTAACATCTATAAACAAGGATGTACTTGAAAATTGGCAACAAGTTAAATGTACATTTCCTAGATAAATACTATAATAAATAGTCAATGACAATTCATTAAGATCATTGTTTTGCAGTTAAACAAACACTCTTACCCCATATTATACTACAGAGCCATTGAATGCTTCAGTCTGATTGGTTGACGAACGTTCTAAGGTGTGCATTATTTTCAGGGAGACGCACGGCTAAAATAGTTCCAGACAAGTCTTGACCGCATTACAGTTGCGTGAGAAATTAGTCCTACATGCAAGAGCGTTTTCATGACAAAAACTTGACAAACGTCTTGAATTACATCATCTGAACAATGTTTCGAGGTGTGGTAACTGTAGTATAAGCAGAATAATTAACTCCAGGCCGTTGAATTATTAGAAAAAATATGATAGAAACATTTAAATACATAAAAGGAATCAACACAGTAAAGGAGGAAACTATATTTAAAAGAAGAAAAACTACCACAACAAGAGGACATAGTCTTAAACTAGAGGGGCAAAGGTTTAAAAATAATATCAGGAAGTATTACTGAGAGGGTAGTTGATGTATGTAATAGCCTTCCAGCTGAAGTGGTAGAGCTTAACACAGTAAAGGAGTTTAAGCATGCATGGGATAGGCATAAGGCTATCCTAACTATAAGATAAGGCCAGGGACTAATGAAAGTATTTTTAAAAATGGGCAAACTAGATGGGCCGAATGGTTCTTATCCGCTGTCACATTCTATGTTTCTATGTTTTGCCTTGGCGGCCAGTGATAAGCTGACTGTGTCAGCCAATCGTTGGCCACTAATAGTAAGTAAAAGCATCTAATTATTCATTTTTATCTCATTTATGTTTAAAAATCTAAAAATGATGGTATTATGAGAAAGTAGATGGGAAACAAATCAGTAACTCCTAATGCAACAAAGCAATCTAAGCAATATAAGGGCAAGAAACATGAATACAAAATATTAAAAATATGATAAAATATAACACACAGTGTACCTAAAAATTCAAATTTTTATTGTGTGTAAATTACTATTATTCTTACTCTAGTATTTACTACTATATACAATTTATTATAACAATTCAAGTAATAACATAATACAAGATAATAACATCAGAACAGAGAAGGTATGTAATGTTGATAATTCACAAAAAGTACAAGTGACTCATCATGATATTAAATGTATGCTTACTAATGCAAGGAGCCTAAATAACAAACCGGGGGAACTAGAGGTAGTAGCCTACACTAAACAATATGATATAATAGGCATAACAGAAACATGGTAGTTAACTGAAATGGATACATGTTATTTAGGAAGGATAGGAAAAACAAGAAGGGTGGTGGGATATGTTTGTATGTCAACCATGATT